ACAATCAGTGATTTCAAATGTGTTATACATACCTGGCATGAAAAGTAATATGCTAAGTATAGGCCAGTTAATCGAGAAGAATTATAAGGCGGTGATCGAAGACAAGATAATGAAAGTACTAGACTCAAGTGAAAAGTTAATCTTGAAGGCTCATATGTCTCAAAATAGAACCTTCAGGATTTAACTTGATGTGTTGGAATACATGTGTCTGGCAACTGCAGCTAGCAGGGATGAATGACTATGGCATTACAAACTTTGTCATTTAGATTTTCATGACATTTCTAACCAGAAGAGAAAGAACATGGTTTCAGGATTTACCATAAATTCATATTCCAAGTGAAGTATGTGAAGAATGTGTTCAAACAAAGCAACACAAGAATATCTTTAAAAGGATGCAATAAGTAAGTCAAAAGCCACACTTGTAGAGATATACTCAAATGTGTGTGAAGAAGATGTTAATATTCCTTCTTAACTTGCTTTTAATGAAGACAAAAAGCTTATCAAAAAAGAAATATCAAAGAAGAAAAAGTTTGAAATCAAAAATCGAGAATGCATGAGCTTATGGATATTTTGGGAGTAAAAGAAATTGATTTTGATGTTAAGGTACTCAATTGCAATTCATTATGTATAAACTTTAGATGCTAAAAAAAATAATACTCATATTCATCTCTAAAGTTATCAAATTATCATGCATAAAAGTCTTTGAAGCAAAGACATCAAAAACTGTCAGCACTTTTTAAGTCATATTCGTTGTACTTTTTATGTCAAATCTGGTTAACTGACTTAACAAAATCTGTTGTTGCTTGAAATTTAAAAAATTGTTTGAAATTCCAAATCCGTCCTACACTTGTTAAGTCAGGTGCCTGTTTAAACAACTTAACAGACCCTGAACAAAATTCAAAATTATGTCTTTTCATGAACCATTGTCATTCTAAACTATTACAAACCTTCATGAAAATGTCTCAAACTTTTGCATCAATTCATAGAGATTTTTTAGGATGTATTTAATTTAAAATGCATTAGTTTTCAAATTACCTCTTTTCTTATTAAATTTTTACATTAATTCAAATAATTTTCTAAGTGTTCATTCTTTTTCAAAAATGTTGAAACTTTGTGAATAACTTTAAAATCATTCATAAAAGTTTCAAAATATTTTTTAAGCACTTAAGGTTCATATATTATTTAATTGTATATTGAAAGAGAAGATCAATTGTCTATTGAAATTTATTCAAGAACAACTTCATATATTCAAATTTGTTCAAGTATTGTAATTGATCACCATGTGTGTGGTGATTTAATTTGTAAATAGAAAGTGGCGTGCTTTCTAAGTGTATGTGATAATAATCATAATGTTGGTGATTATTAGAGAAAGGTCATTGGATTGGTTTGATTCAAATTTCACCATAGTTGTTGGTGTATTTGTGAAATCGAGGAAGTGGTGTGCTTCTTTGTTGTTGTTAGAAGATTGTAGAAGAAGTCTTGGTATTAGATTTATACAAAGATCTAACAATAGTGAAAACATATCACGTGATATGATAGGACTAGAAGTACCATTGGTTGATAAGAGGAACTAGTATACATCATTGTGTTCATTAGTTTACTGCACTTTACTTTTTTGTTTATCATTCATTCATCGTTCACAATTTTGAAAAATTTCAAGAAACTAGAAAAGTATCATAAATCCCTAAAAATATCATTACAACTAATTCACCCTCTTAGGTTGTGAACTCAAATAATTACGGTGCATGGCCCTCTCCAGGTAGATTCAATTGGAGGCAACAAATACTTTGTTACATTTATAGATGATTACACTAGAAAGCTGCAGAACTACTAGATCAAGAAGAAAAGTGATGTGATTGATGTCTTCACAAATTCAAAGCCATGATGGAAAGACAAATTTGTCACAAGATCAAGACTCTGAGGACACATGGTGGTGGAGAATACATGTCGAAAGATTTCGACACACTATGTAAAAGAGAAGGAATTATGTATGAGGTTGTGCCACCATACACTCCTAAACAAAATGGTACTGCTGAAAGAAAGAACATAACCATTATCAATATGGTGAGAAGTATGTTAAAGGGAAATCACTTACCAAATGAGTTATGGGGTGAGGCTGTGTCCATTGCAACTTACATACTGAACAAATGTCCAATAAAGAGGCTATAATGTATCACACCAGAAAAATGATGGTGTTTAAATCCATAACACATAAACATGTGTCTAATCAGTTGAGAAGAAAATTTTATGACAAGTAAATCTAGATGATCCTGATATGATATCACTCAACTGATGGATATAAACTGTTCGACCCAATGAACAAGCAAGTTGTGATCAACAGGGATATGATCATATATGAACTTAAGGAATGGGATTGGAATGAAAACATCAATAAGGATTCAGTGAAAATCCTATGTGATGAACCAGATAGTGAAGCTGACAGAGAAGTTTGACAAGAAGAAATCAAAGGTCAAGTAGGCACAAACTGCACTCAAAGAACAAGAAGCATGCCTGCAAGGTTAGAAGAATATGTGATCACATTAGATGATGTGGTATATAATGAAAGTGAGGTAGTACATTATGTCTTCTATGCAGATACTGAGCCAATCAATGTAGTTGAGGCATTGAAATACTCAAAGTGGATGAACATTGTGGTGGAGGAGTTAAAATCCATAGAAGACAACAAAACCTGATCACTAGTTGAACTGCCACAAGATAAGAAGGAAATTAATGTGAAGTAGGTGTACAAGGTGAAATTCAATCCAAATGGAGAAGTAACTATACACAAGGCAAGATTTGTTGCAAAAGGATTTCTTCAGAAAGAAGAAATTGATTATGATGGAGTTTTTGCACCAATTGCTAGGAGCAAAACAATCAGGTTGGTTATTAGTCTACATGAATAACTGGTCCATGTGTCAGATGGACATGACATGTGTATTCCTAAATGACCCTCTAGATGAAGAGGTTTATGTAGCACAACTAGTTGGTTTTGTGAAGCAAGGCCAAGAAGGAAACCTATATCAGGCTGCATAAAGCCCTGTATGGACTCAAGCAAGCTCCAAGAGCTTAGAACAAGAATATATATAGCTTTATAAATGAGAAAAAGTTTATAAAATATATGATTGAGCACGATGTGTATGTCAGAAGAAGCAGGAGTAAGCTGCTTATATTTTGTCTCTATGTAGATTACATGTTGATACAAACACTTGCAAGAAGGAGATTGAAGATTTCAAACATGACTTAAGCAAAAAGTTTGAAATGTCTGACTTGGAAAATATCTTATACTTTCTTGGTAACAAATTTTACAGCCTAATGATGCACCAAAGAAGATATGCATGTGAAATACTCAAGAAATTTGAGATGGGTGATTACAATGCAACCTCGACACCGGCTGAACCAAGATTGTAACTAATAAAAGATTTGACTGAAGATGATGTCAATCCAATCCAATATAAAAGACTTATTGGATCATTAAGATATCTCTATCACATGAAAGAAGTAATCACATCAAAATGAGATTTCATTATCTAAGTAAAAAAGTAGCGAATGAAAGGATGAGCCTGGAACACTGTAGATTAGAGAATCAGATTGCAGACATAATGACGAAGGTTGTGCAGGTCAAATTGTTCATGAGATTGAGAACAATGATGAATGTAGATAGTTTAGACACAATGAATTAGATAGTGTGTTAAATATGTAATTCTTTATGCTAAGACAGATTGTATTCGACAGTATTAAAATATGTATGAAGTTGTCGAAGAAGTTTACTTCGACAAAGTCTAAGAATGTGTATATTCAATAGTGTCGAATCAACTAGAATTCGACAGAGTTGAACTTAGTATTTTCATGTAATAGTTGAATTATTTATTTTGAGATTATTTTGAGTGTAAGTAATCTCATTTAAATAGAAGGAAACTCATCACTCTGTTATAACCTTTTTTAATACAATTCAGTACAATTGCACAGTGTAATACATTTTTCTTCCTCCAAAATTTTGTATTCTCCCAAACTTAAATTTATCTTTATTTTCATCTGGTCAAATCAGTGTGTAAAGTAAAACCATCTTGCAATTAAGGTGTGGTTGATTCACCCAAATAAAAGGTGAGAAACAAGAGACGCGATCAATCAAAAAAAATTGATTCTTATTTATCAAGATTGATTCGAATGATCTCTAAAATTAAGGTTTAATTTCAAGAAATATTGTCGAATGATACTATTCAATATAACTTAGTGTTTATTTTGATGAAAATGACATAATATTATTTAAGTAAACATACTCAAACATTAAGCATCTTAGACCATCTTCAACGGTGGTTCTTCAAATTGGTTTGCCAACTTAGCATTGAAATTATCAACAAAAAGTTGTTCCAGCGGGTGAACGTTCCTTGCATAAGCAATGGTTCTTCATTTTTTTTTATTATTAAAATAATTATTTAACTTGTTGGTTTTATTTATTTTTTTTAACTTTTTTTATTTATTATAAATATAAGTTTGTTGCAAAAATTTATAACAATCCTATTTTCTCTCACTTTTATTTACTATTTAATTTTAAATTTCTCTCTCACAATTTCATCATTTTATTCATAAATTATTATTTTCAATTTTATGTTTAATTTTAATTTTATGTTTAGTTTATATTTATAGTAATTAAAATTTAAATATTTAAATTATAATTTTAAATAAAATAAATTTAATATAAATAATATATTTAAGTAAAGTAGTGAGACCCAATATGAGTTCTTTGAAGTTGCACCATTGGAGTGAAAATTGAATAAGTTGTTTTAGAAGAGTTGGTCTCACAAAGAACCTAAAAATGGGTTGCACCATTGGAAGTGCTCTTAGGCTTATTACATGTATTTTTCTCCATAAAACTTTCAATAACACAAATCTCTAATAGGTCCACACACTCTACATAAGTTTAATGGCTTCAACATAAGAAAATCTTAGAGTTCCTTATAACATTACACTACAACTTACCAAAATAACAACAATCCAATACATCAACACATTCTTCTCCTCTTGTTTTGATACGAAGTTCTAAGAGCAAATTCCATTGACATAGAAGCCTTTTCCAACACAGAACCAAGTGCCTTATGAACAACATTTGCAATACTTTGACATGCTTCAACATTAACACTTTTATTATTATCCCCTTTGCAACATGTGAATACAAACACATTCTTCATTCTTCTTTCCAATGTTGACATCTCTGATTTCACTAGTTGAAGTTGAAGTGCATCAAGTGTTTTTTTGAGGTCACACAGGATCTCAGGTTGGTAATCACAGCATATAGTTGCCATGTAAGACATGCATCCATATCCTAGTTTAGTATCATATGGTTCAACTTTCACTTCATCGGTTTCCATTGGAATTAGAAAACCTTTGCTTGCTTCCATTGCATGATTCTTTAATTCCTTCACTTGGCTAATCACTTTAGCAAGTAATGTGGCTTTCTCTATCTAAAGAGTAATTAAATTGTTTATCAACTATGATGCTTGAAACATAAATATAATAGTATTTCATTGTCCTACATTACCATTATATGAGTTGTTAGACAAATGAAGATAAAATGGCGGTGGAACAAAACGGCAAAAAACATAGCTCAAGTAACTGACTATGTCATGCCCTCCATAAAAAGAACAGCTTGCATAGTTGCATGTCATCAACAAAAGTTCAAAGCAATATCTTAATCAATTTAATTGCAATGAAAACGTTTGTTCTCTTTTTTATTTATTTTGGTGAAAGCCATCAATTAAAATAATTTAGTTTTTAATGTTATATATTTTTGATGATGCGTAGATGACATAGTTTTATTTGGAGAATCGATTCGGTGACGAATTTTAGAAATGAATGGTTTTCACCTATATAAAAGTAATACGGAATATAAAAAAAAAGATTTTTAACTCAGAGATGAAAGTTGGAGACTATATTATCCTATAAGTTAGTCGGCTTAAATATCTTAGGTTCCATAATATAAAATGATGGAGAAATAGAAGTAAACCATTGAATTTAAGATATGTGGTTGAAATTGATGAGTGTCTAAGGAGTTTTATTTGACATTGAAATTTTACTCAAATCGAAGAGAGAAAATTTTATCGAATACCATTTGAAAATCAATACGAAAATAAAAGAAATGTAGCAGAAATAAAAAATTTGCATTACATATGAGATAAGATTAAAAATGACAATACAAGATAATGTGTTGGGGGCAACCGTATAAAAGATGATGAAAAATAAATTTAGGTGATTTGTCTATGTAAATAGAAAATCCGTAAAATTTGTTGTAAAAAATAGAAAAGATAAAAAGGAGTTATGAAAAATTAAAAAAATTAAAAGAAAATTTATTAAGAAAAATTTAAAATTAACAAATTAAATAAAAAAATGAGAATTTAATTCATATAGTCTACTCCATTGAGTAAAATAATGTTTGTTTGGTGTTGTATACTTTTGTAAGTTTGTTCATGTGATGGTGACCTAATCAAGCAAGTAATGTTTAATATACATGTATAAATAATAAATTATTTCCCGAAGAAGAAACCATAAAAACAATATTATCATGAACTATACATAATCGGTGAGGTTGTTTGTCATGCAGAATAAAAAATTGCACATTACAATGATAAAATGATGGACCATGGTAGTTGACTTTAGAAATTAGTAACTCTCACAACAAGTTGACCATATAATGACAACAATGATACAATCATAAACCATTTATTTAATCACAATAATACGCTTCAAATTTCAATACTTGTCGTGTTTATAGTAACCAAAAGACTAAGCTCCATTCTTCTTTTAAAATTATCAATAAAATTATTGTGTTATTTAAACGTCAAAACATAGACACCATATGTTTCTATATTTCTCTTAATTTTTAACTTTTAGGTACATTTGAATTAGCTATGTTTTTATATTTCTCTTAATTCAATTTAAAGAAGACGGTAATTTAATTGACGACAGTGTAAGACGTATAAGAAGAAAGATTAATTTAATAGGGACCAATGAACAATCATGTCGGAGAAAGAGTACCAGCAAAAACATACCTTTTGATGAGTAGAAGGCACAAGAGTACGTAATGTAGCAAGATGACCATTTATTCTCTCTCTCCTTCTCCTCTCCGCTTCACTATGATTCTTCAAAGCAGCCAAAGCTTTTGCCTTACAACTCTCATTCTTACCACCAACCCTTTCACTCTTCGACGACGACGACAACAACAACGACCCATCAGAACCTCCAAACTCATGCAAACACTGATTCAACAACTCCAAATCATCATACCCAGATGAAGAAATTTTACCACAAAACATACTTCTGATTCTGAGTTTCACACTGCGAACACTAACGACGTTGCTACTTGCGAAAGAGAAGATGAAAACCAGGTGGACGAGTAGTAGGAGCGAACCAAAATGAAAGCTTTTGAAAACGAATATTGCTTTGTTTGTTAATAATATTGTTGGTCATAACTTCCATTACGCGAAGGGAAGAAGAATCTATGAGAGGAGTGTTAAAAGAGAAATAGATTAATGTGAAAACATCCACATTTTGTTCTTGATGATGTTGAGTTCAACCATTTGTAGGTGGGAAAAGAGAAAAAGAAAGTGAATTTTCAGATTTACTTGCCCTGGATTTTAATGAAAGAACAGACAAGGTACAAGGTGTCGGTGTTGGAAACAGAGAAGGTTTGAGATAATCAATGAGTAATGTTTGTGACTTTTGAACTTATGGAATGTATGGATGGAGCATAAACATTGGTACTACGTTGTTGACTATTTATAAAGCTTGCTTGTGTAATACTATTATTATATGAATAAAATAAAATATGGGTTTTTGAAAGAGTAGATAAAACAAAAGTTTTATTTATTTATTTATTAATAATTGATATTACTTAATTTCTTTTGATTTGGACATTCCAGCAAAAATCTTTATTTATTTATTTTGAAATTGTTATTCTTGTAGGGTTGGCAAGTCAAAATATATCTAACAGTATTTATTTACTGCTTTTTCTGTTTTTAATATATATCATTAAATTATAAGTCATTTTATTATATAGATAAATTATTAATGTTAGACTTTTTTATTATTAAATTAAAAAAATTCTTTCAATTTTTAGTTTATCTTTTCAATACTATTTATCAATATTTTTAAATTATTTTAAATAGCTATGTAATAGCAACAACTTTTGAATAGTGGAGAAATTTTTGCATGAAACTTTTTGTTCACGTCGTTTCCATGCCTCCATCAATCAAGTCACGGGACGGAGGTGCATCTTAGTCTCCTAGACCGTCACTCTGTGATATTTTCAATGTAGAACAAAGAGCCATTATAGTGAAGAAGAGAGTGGACTTGATTGTAAAGGGACTTATGAAAATCACCTTTAATGGAGAAAACGGATTGCTGCCAAAGATCACGATGGATGAGAAGCTTTTTCAGGAATTATGCAATCATTGGAAGGAAGTGCTAGTCATAAAACTCCTTAGGAAGAATGTAGACTATCATTTAATGAATGATAAGTTGAAGAAGATGTGGAAACTTACTAGAGGTTTTGAGATCATGGACGTTGACAATGGTTTCTTTATAGTCAAGTGTGAACTACTCGTAGATAGGGAGAAAATTGTGTCAGAAGGCCCATGGACACTGTTTGGCCATTATTTGAAAGTGCTTCGATAGACTTCAGACTTTGCAGCTCCACTTGTAAAGGTGGAGAAGACTTTGGTTTGGATTCGATTTCCAGGGTTTAAATTATTTTATTATGATGAAAGTATCCTTGGTTTGACATTTGTTGTGGGTACTCCTATTAAGATAAATACTAACACCCTGAATGTAGAGAGGGGGAGGTTTGCAAGAATTTGTGCAAAGATTGATCTGATTGTATCAGAGTTCACGGGGTGTGAGAGCTCTTCATCATCCATAGTATTAAGAATCAGGGAACCTTTGGAGAAGGCTTTTTCTATAACATATGGGCCTCCATAGTTGGGAGTTCACTCCCCATATGAATCCTTGTCTGTAGGAAAGATACTTTTGAGCACGAGATATCCTTCTCCAAATTCCCGAAGACCAACTTTCTTTTCGAACGCCCTCTTGAGCCGTTTCTGGTATAACTATTTATTGCACATAGCGGCCATACATTTTCCATCGATGAGTTTCAGTTTTTCATATCTGTTCTGGATCTATTCAGCTTCTTCTAGCTTGGTTTCCATTAAGATTCTCATTGTGGGTATTTCTACTTCAATTGGGACAACTGCTTCCATCCCATATACCAAAGAGAATAGGGTTGTCCCTATTGAAGTGCAGACTGAGGTCTGATATCCATGCAATGCAAAGGGTAGCAGTTCGTGCCAATCCTTGTAGATGTTCACCATCTTCTGCAAGATCTTCTTGATGTTTTAAATTGGCAGCTTCAACAACGTCATTCATCTTAGGACAATATGGGAAGAGTCATAGTGTTCAATCTTGAAACTATCGCATAACTCTTTCAATGTTTTGTCGTTCAAGTTCATCCTATTATCTATGATAATCTGGCTTGAAATTCCATAGCGGCATATGATCTCCTACTTAAGGAAATGTGCGATCACTTGTCTTGTCATGTTGGTGTAGGGAACAACTTCTACCTATTTGGTGAAGTAATCAATGGCGACCATGATGAAACGGTGACCATCAGAAGCTTTGGGTTCTATGGCGACAATCATGTCGATGCTTCACATTGAGAAAGGCCAAAGTGATGTCAAGACATTTAGCAGTGTTGGCTCCACATGTACTTTGTTAACATAAATTTGACAACTGTGACATTTTTTGGTATAGTTAAACAACCAGACTCCATGGTCAACTAGTAATAACCAGCTCTCAAGATCTTCTTATTCATGGCATGCCCATTAGCATGGGTTCTAAAGGATCCCTCATGAATCTCTTTGATCAACATATCTGTTTCGTGTCTATCCAAGCATCTGAGCAGAATCATGTTGTGGTTTCTCTTGTAAAGCACATTATTGCTCAGGAAGAATTTGGATGCTAACCACCTCAATTTTTTCTTATCCAGGGTTGTAGCATTTTCTAGATACTCTTGATTTTGTAGAATGTGTGTGATGTCATGAAACCAAGATTGACCATCATCCTCTTCCTCAACCAATTGACAGTAGGTTGGCTTAAATTTTCGCTCTATTTGGATGAGCGATGCTTCATTGTAGAACCTGACTTGGTACATCGAGCTAACATATCTAGAGCGTCATCTACTTGATTTTGTGTCCTCGGGATATGACAAAAGGTGATTTCGTTAAAGTATTTTATCAATTCTATGACATAAGCACGATACGGGATCAACTTGGTATCACAAGTTTTCCATTCGCCTTTGACTTGGTAGATCACCAGGGCTAAGTTTCTACACACCTCAAGGATCTTGATTCAGAGGCCAATTGTGGCTTCAATGCCCAGGATGCACGCCTCATTTTCTTCTATATTATTCGTGCAACCTCTATGTTAAAGGAGTATAGCCACCATTTGGGTTCATCAAAATAGCTCCCACATCATGCCTCATGTAATTTAAGGAACCATCGAATATGAGCTTCCATCGAGATCCTAGTTCATTTCCTTCGTCAGGGCCTGGGATTTCATAATCTTTTATTTGCCATAACGTCTTCGTCAGGGCCTGGGATTTCATAATCTTTTATTGTCATAACGTCTTCATCAGGGAAGTCAAACTTCAATGGATGGTAATCTTCAACAGGTTGGTTGGCAAGCTAGTCAGACAACACACTTCCTTTTAATAGCCTTTCATGTTACATACTCAATTCGTACTCAGGCAATAGCATCTGCCAATGGGTAAGTCTTTCAGTTAAGGGAGGCTTCTCAAATATATACTTTATTGGATCCATATTGAAAATTAACAAAGTAGTATGACAAATCATATATTGTCAGAGACATTTAGTGGCCTATGCTAGGACGCAACAAGTTTTCTCCATGAGTGAATGTTTGGTTTCACAACCAATAAACTTTTTGCTCAAGTAATAAATAGCATGCTCTTTTCGGATGGTTTCATCATGTTATCCCAACATGCATATGATTGAATCTTCAAGCACAGTCAGATATATAAAGAGTGGCTTCCCCTGAACAAGTTGAATCAGGATAGGAGACTCTTGTAAGTAGTCTTCGATCTTCTCAAAATCTTTTTAGCATTCAGGGTTTTATTCAATTGCTTGATCTTTTCGAAGCAACTTGAAGATGGGCTCACGCGTAGCAGTCATATGGGAGATAACCCTAGAGATATAGTTTAATCGTCCAAGGAAATATCTGACTTCTCTTTTGGTATGTGGATCAGGCATTTCTTATATCAATCTAATCTTGTATGGATCTATCTTAATTCCTCGTTGACTAATGATGAAGCCAAGCAATTTTCTGGACCGAACACCAAATGTGCATTTAGCAGGGTTCAAACATAGTCGAAATTTTTTGGGGCGCTCAAACAGCTTCTACAAGTGTTCCATATGGTCCTCTTCACTTTAGGATTTAATGATCATGCCATCAACATAAACTTCAATGTCTTTCTGCATCATATCATAGAAGAGGGTGAACATCGCTCTTTGGTATGTTACCCCTACGTTCTTGATACTGAGGGTGTGACTTTATAGCAAAATGTTCCCCAAGGGGTGATGTGTAACAGCCCAAATTTCATTAAATAATTAATTGTAATAATTAATTGATTTAGTGGGATTTTATTTAATGATGGAATTAATTTTATTAATTGGTATGGATAGAAAATTAAGAAGGAATTGGAGAGGAAGGAAAATGAAGGAAATATATAAGAGAGAAAGAAAAGAAAAGAAAGATAGAAAACATTTGGAAAGAAAGAGGAAAGAAGAAGAAAGGAGAGAAAGAGAAGAGAAGAAGAGGAAAAGTGGAAATCATCAAGAACCAACATCAAAGCTCCGATTAATCGAGGTAAGGGTGAGAAATGTTTCTATTTGATCATTGTATGCTATTATGTATGTTGGGTTTGGGTTTGTGGATGTTTTTCATCACTTTCCATTTTAGGGCAAGTTGGATTAATCGGTAGAATGATGATTTAATCGGTTGAAACTGAGCAATAATGCCGTAGAATAGTCGGGTAACATGTATTGATGTTATTTGTACTGATTGGGATGTTTGAGGTTTGGTTGATGATGGATTGATGAAGGAGAGGCAGAATAGGGTTCTGTTCTGCGCAGGTTCGCTGGCTCTCGCCAGGCGAGCGAAGGCGAAGCTTCGCCAGGCGAAGCCTAGCGAATGCTGGCAAGTAATTATGATTAAGTCCCAGTGGACTTCACTGGCGAGTTCGCCA